AACTTTTTTTTTTTTTTTTATTGAAACGGATCAAAAGCTGCGTGAATCTCACTTACTTGTACGTATATTATTGTCCCCTTGGCACACATTTCGAGTGTGCTTTTTTTTTATTTCTCTCGTGAGTACGCGTGTGTATTGACTTGTAATTATTTATACAAATATATATATATATTAATTTGCACTACAACGTCCTAGTGATAACAACGAAAGAGAAAAAGTTCTTTATAAATACACGTTACGTTTGGTCGCGAGATATCGGCGAACAGCGAACGTGTGATCTTAAATAACACATTTGTGATAGTACACGTAATTTTAAGAAAGTCGAAACGCGTGGTTTGTCGGTACTTTTTCTTCTCCTCTCCGATTAAATAGCACGACAATTAAGTTCAAATTGTTTTGTTTGTTTCCAGTAATAATAAAAAAAGACACGTTAGCAAAATATTTTTACAAATTGCCTGAAAACCTTATTATTTGGAGTTGAAAAAGAGGATTATATGCGTCCAAAGAGTAATTATTGCAAACTGTGCATTTCGATTGTAATGAAAAAAAAAAGCTCTCGTGCCTAGTAAACCGTATTATGTTTCAAGACATTTGTAATTAAAATGAATTGTCGTTTGAATAACATATCGAAATGAATTTTGTCATTCAATCGAAAGACACTACATTAAGTTTTGCAATTAAATTTATTATTGTATTATTCTAGTGAAATGCAAGCAAGCCTAAAATAAAACAAATACCTAACGAGGAATAATCTAATTGTTTGTATAGGTAGTAAGAAAAAAAAAAAAATAATAATAATAATAATAAACAAACAAACTGTATTGCATTAAGCTTTATGAAAATTTGTTCACTCGGCTTTGAAGGGTACGATATGTATATTTTTAACGTCTGCTTTTTGTAATACATATTTTTTATAACAAACAAAAAAATAAATACGTTTTTTATACAAAAAATGTGGTTGTAAAATTTTTTGTCGCGCAGCAACGGCAAGCAAGAAATTAGCGAATGTGCAAGCTCATTGCCTAGCAATTTTCCAAGGTGCATTCGAATGTGATAACGCAAAGTAGAAGTTACATGTATATACGTATTACGTATATTCTCTGGTACGTAATTCTTTGTGCACGCAGTGGCAAAGTTTTTTTTCTTTAAAATTAATTAAAAAAGGAAACTGAAATTTCGCTGCCCATACATGCTCACCTCGATGATTAAATTTAAAAAATAGTAATAAATAAATATCCAACCCCTTTTTTTGAAACTTTTATTCCAAATTAGAGCCAATGAATTTATAATCGACGCACCAACGCACGCTACAAGGACACTCCAATAAAAATCCAGGGCTCGACATGTATACGCGATGAAATCATCGCCAACTTGATGATTTCGCGCAACTCGCCATCAGATGATAGCTCTCGCAAATCACCTCGAAATCGAAAACCCGACGCTGCCCGCACGTTTAAAATAGATGGTACAATATCCGTATAGCCATCCGTACCTTGGATTTTATGCGTTTTTTGTCCCCTTCTACTTCACCCACGGTACCCTACTCATGAGCTCACGGCGCGTACGATTTGTCAAGTTCTACAATCACGTGGGCTCATTAATAATATGTAAGAGAAATAATGTGTCTCGGAGGATCAAAATTTATCTCCTGATTTCCGAAACTGTATACAAAAGTGATTGCATTATCTGCTTTCTCGTTATCTTAAAATAGTTTTTGCATCAGCGAACCAATAATTAAAAATTTTATACAGACAAAAAAAAAAAAAAGAAGAAAGATCCTTCTGTGTACACTCCATGGTCAGGTGTTTGTATATATACCCTCGTCCAAGGCTTTCGCTCTTTTGACCCAGTATAGGCACCTATATATATACAGGCGCCAGACGCTCATTTTCTCTTTCTCTCTTTCCATTGCACAACAAAAAAAAAAAAAACAAAAAAAAATCGCGCTTAAGCTGCGTTGTGGTTTTTTTTTCTCCTGTCGTGTATTGTTGTTCTTACGTAAATTCCACAGCGAGAGAAAGAAAGCTTCCAGTTTGTCGAGTTTTATTATTTATTCATTTTTTTTTTCTCACCCAATACACGGATACACACGCGGATAATCCGTACAAACAAGCAATCGCGTACACGCGAGAGATTGGCATCCATTGGAGTTTCGTTAACCACGACATTGCAGAGCCGCGAAAAGCTGTACATATTTTATATATATACTTATTGAGCGGTCGCCGTGGCGCGAGTGCGAAGATCCCGTTCGCGTAGATAAGCACTAAAAGCCATTGTTCGCGTTTGGATAATTGGACTGACACGGCGTTTGGGGGATGGGAAAATTACCCTTCGAACATTGGCGACCCAGTGAGATAAAAAAGCGCGATAAGAGATTAAGTATTCATAAGTAAGAAATCGTATAGAGCTTGGGTGTATAGTTTTTTTTTTTTTTTTTTTTTCATTCTGCATTTCACCATTACTGCAGTATACAAAAAAACCATTTGTACGTTAAATATGTTAACGTTTCAGTGAAGTTGCAGCCTCTGCCCATGTACGGCTCGCTCCCGAATTCCGAGCAGCTGAAGGTGTTCCGCCGAGCGCCCAACGACACGCGTAAAGTCATCGTGGCGACCAACATCGCGGAAACCTCCATCACGATACCCAACGTGATCTACGGTAAGGAATCGCACCCCCTTTTGTTTAACATCTCAAAATATTGCTCTAGCGATTTAAGTATTCGTCCGAGGGGGGAATAAAACAAACATTAGCACGAGCGAGTTCGATCAACTTCCTCGTGTTGCTGCGATAAGAAAAAAGTAGTACCTAGACGCCGTTTCTATTTTTTCCCGTTTTCATTGTTTCCTCTCCATGTCGGTGATGGTGCATCGCCGTATACATATTATCGATTGCCCTAACGCAGGTACATAAGTCGACTTAGAGCACCTTAATTACGACCTTATCGATTCGTCCCCCTAGTGTTGATATACATTATAATTTAGTACCTGTAACATTAACATTGTTGTGACCTTCCTTCGGGAGGGCCTTGGAAATATGTATCGTATGAGACAACGATTTCCATGATCCATTTGAATTCGAATGATCGGAAAATTATACGAAATAACCCCCTTTGTTTTTTCTCCTCCCCACAGTGATCGATTGCGGTTTCGTCAAGCTGCCCTGGTTCGACGTCGAAACGCAGACGAATGGGCTCATCATCGCCCCGGTGTCCAAAGCTTCGGCCGACCAACGTGCCGGCAGAGCCGGTAGAGTGAGATCGGGCAAAGCTTACAGGTGGGCTTTTTCGTCATGTTGATTCGATTGAAATTAATTCAACACTGTTGACTTTGTTAATTAATTTTTAAACGCAATGTCTCGCCTCCCAAGATTGTACACCGAAGAGGCGTTCAATGAACTGATAACCGCAACTCCGCCCGAAATGCAGCGTTCGGATCTCGGACCTGCTGTACTGCAGCTCAAAGCCTTGGGTATCGACAACGTGCTGCGCTTTAGTTTCCCGTCATCGCCGCCGAGTAAGAGCCTGCTCTCTGCCCTCGAGTTGTTGTACGCTCTCGGGGCGATAGACGACAGGGGCGAGCTCACTGATCCGGTAGGAGTGACTATGGCCGAGATACCGCTCGAGCCTGTGTTTGCCAAATGCTTGATCGCGTCAGGTAGGCTGGTAGATCAACCGAATGAGAAAAAACGTTTTAAGTAAGTAATGCCTCTCTTTGCAGGTGAAATGGGCTGTTCCGAAGAGATAACGACCATCCTGGCGATGCTGCAGGTGCAAAACGTATTTGTACGACCGACGAGCGGCCAAGCTGCGATCAAAGCTCGGATAGCTCGACGTCTCTTCGAGACCGCGGAAGGTGACTTGCTCACGCTACTCAATGTTTACGCGGCCTACGAGAAGAACAAGACAAACAGCTGGTGTCAAAAGTACTTTGTCAGTAGCAAGGCTCTGAGACGTGCCACGGAAATACGCGTTCAGATGCGCAAGCTCGTCAAGAGACTAGGCATCGCCCTCGAGTCTTGTGGAGGTACGTTTATTCACTCTATTTATTGATATAATATGCTGAAGGTTTTTTTTTTTTAATCTCGAGTCTTGACATTTTTTAATTTCAGTGAACATCGAACCGATTCTCAGATGTTTGACAGTCGGACTCTTCCCGCATGCGGCTTACTTACACTATAGCGGGGTTTACAGGACGGTGAGGGGTAACAAGGATCTGTATATACATCCCCACAGTTGTTTGTATACTTTGGAACAGCCACAATGGTAAGTATTTGAAAACTATAGATTTCTCTCTGTAGATGATAATAGTACTAAAGTTGTCTTATTATTATTATTATGTGTTCAGGATATTATTCAGCGAGATTTTGCAAACTGACAAAGCATACATGGGAGACTTGACTGTGATAAGGCCTGAATGGCTGATTGAATTGGCACCGCACTTTTATCAGAAAACTGCGATCGACGATAATTAAATATTTTGTTAAGCATACATTTTTTACAATAAATTGTTTCTTATGCTACTAACTCTGGCTGTACTTTATTTGGGAACATGTAAATCACGAGACCACCAGATATACTGCTATTGTTTTTTGAAAAAGTATAACAATTCCAATCAAGAATAACTTATTAATACAGGTAAAACATTTACGTGCATCTGTTAGGAAGTTAAAATTATACGAATTCTTTACTTAAAAAAGTTCAATGAATAGAAGAGACCTGTGAAAAGTACACAATAGCATGTGGTAACTACTATACATTTGATTTACAATACCATACTAATACCTGAGATATCCATCTACCTACTTCTTATCATCACTACTTATTCCAGCAGATACTTGTACTAGCTTACTTGAGCTATTCACCCACGCAATGTGATCTCATCCAGGTAAGCTCTGATGACCACCTATTCGTGAGTGCGTGTGTTGTTTGCGCGCGTCACTGGTCGCTATGCTATTAAAATTGACAAGCCCAGTGGTCCATTAGAGCCATTAGAGGCGTGACAGGTCGACGCGATGTCGCTCGCTCGACTCGCTAGTGCAATTTCTACTGGCCTCAAATTATTTTCATACATGACATTTCACTCTCAACAGAGAGAGAAATAAATAAGAGAGGAAATTCACCGCTGAAACCTCATATTTAAATTATTTTATACATCTGTGCATACATATTTTTTTATTTACCAAGACTTTTTTGAGGAGTCTTGTTTTACTGCGTAAGTATGACATTCCGAAAATTTTGCGTCTTCTATTTTTTTTTTTTACGTCAAGGTCTGCGTGAGTGGTGAAAGCGTGTTCTTTTTATTGGAGTCTACATATATGTACATATGTTTTCGCATTGCAGATTTTACGCTGCAAGGTTAGGTTGCTTCACCGATTTTCGTTTTTGGTTTAAAGACCAGAGATAAGTCATTTGAGTTAAAAAGGTGTGATTTGCAAACTTTTGTGTTACAGAGATTTATTGATAAGTTTACTTGAAAGTTTTTACTTTTTTATGGAATTTTATCTCGTATTGAAGAATTACATGATTCGTTTGTTAATTACTGTGGTTTAATACAACTTTTTTTTTTATACAAATCTTAAATAAATTAATTGAGTTTTATGAATACTCAATGAATGCTTGTTATTCAACCAATAATATTTATACAAAAAGTTAACATTAAAAACTAGTACTTTTCTTTTGATTGAGTATATTCAATTGTGTGTGCTTGTTTGTTTATATAGAATGGTAGAAGATACAAACTATATTGGCCGCCGAGTTGATTGTGAAGGCCACATAGGTACCGTCAAATATGTGGGAAAGGTGGGCAGTACACAAGGACAATGGTTAGGAATTGATTGGGATGATCCAGCAAGAGGAAAGCACAATGGCACATACGAAGGTGTCAAGTATTTTGAGACTTGGTGAGTTTGGTGTAGTGACTTCTGTAACTTGAATCAGATGTTATTAATTTACAAGTTATTATTGTGGTTTTAGGCATCCTACATCGGCTTCATTTATACGTCCTGCCAAAGCTAATTTTGGCATATCATGTCCAGAAGCCATTAGAGTACGCTATGGTTTTGTAGATGATGAACTGGCAGGCATTGATAAAGCATCAATCGACAGTGTTAAAAAGTCCCTGAATGCGCCATTTGTTGAAATGGTTGGTTTTTCCAAAGTGAATAGGAAGCAGAGTAAATTTGATCAGTTAAAAATCATCTGTCTGCAAGATCAGTGCATCAGTAGTGCAGGGTTTCCTGGTGAATTGGCTGAGCTATGTCCACAAGTAGAGGAATTGGACTTGTCACATAATTTGATAAACTCTTGGAAAGCGGTTGCTGAGATCTGTGGTGAACTGCACAATTTAAAAGGACTAAACATCAGGTAATTTTCATACAAAGTCAATAATAAACACCGTTGTTTGATTTAATTTAAGAATGCTGTTTCCCATTGAATATGAATCACAAGTGGTCTTTCAGTGGGAATAATTTACCGGTCGAGGAACACATGGAATCGTATTCAAGTGCTTTTTCAAACTTGAGGCATTTGGCGCTTGGCAAAATGAAATACAATTGGTCTGCAGTTGCAAAATGCTTACTCGCTTTTCCTTCCATTCAGCAATTAACAGTATCGTACAACGAGATTGAACAAATTTGTAACGTGCAAGACAATTCAAATATTATGAAACTGACTGAAATATCATTAGAGAACAATCGTATACGTGACTGGAATGAAGTATTAAAATTAGGAAAGCTTCCTTTGTAAGTGACATTTAAAAAATGTTTAAAACATGCATACCGTAAATGTTTAATTCGCATATTAATGCAACTTTTTAAAAAATTGTATTGTATCTATATTTTTCAGCCTAAAAGGCCTTAACTTGAATTCCAATAAATTAGAAGTAATAAGATTTTATACAAGTGAACCTACCGACAAAACCGATTTTTTTCCTAGTTTAGTACAGTTGCACATATCAGATAATAATATAAAAGACGTGAGTAAATCGATTATATTTAAACATTAAAACTGATTGTAGTATAAATAATTTTTACTCCTTACTTTTAGTGGCGATCTATAAGCGAATTAGAAAAGTTAAAGAGCCTTGAAGACTTGAGATTCCGCGAGAATCCAGTTTTACAAGAACAAAACATACAAACGGGAGTACAGTTAGTGATAGCCAGAATAAGTAACTTGAAACTTTTCAATGGGACGGAAATTTCAGCGTCAGAGAGGCGAGGAGCCGAGTATGACTATTTAAAACTGTTTGCAGCATCATGGAAAAGTTCAGAGGGTGATATTATGAAGAGAAAAGAGTTTATTACAAATCACCCCCGGTTTCCTGCGCTAGTTGAAAGTAAGAGTAGTGAAGTTTATCATATAATTTTTGTTGGTATTATGATTTTTCAGTTGTATATTTTTGTACTCTAGGATATGGAGTGCCGGACACTTCAGAGTCAAATAAAAATACACAGCTTTCGTCGAACGTCATAACGGTAGAGTTTGTGTGCCCAGATAATCCAAATATTAAGAGTATGAAGAAAAAGTTATTAAAAAACATGGATGTACAGAAGCTAATGGGTGTTGTTCAAAGACTGTTTAGAATTAACGGAAAAATTCCCACGCTATCTTTCGTCCGGCCTAAAGTGAGTAATAATCAAACAATTTAAATTCTTTATTTAAAAAATGTATTTTATTTACAACTCCAAATTACAAAATTGGACGCTTGAAAATACTGTAGATTGTATAGATAGTTTGATCGTCATGGTAAACATTTCTCATGCATTATATTCATACAGATTTCTGAAGATGAAATACCACTGGACAAGCCTCTACAAGAACTAAGTTATTACCTCATTGATGAAGGTGATCTAATCTTTGTGCGCTGGTGATATTAAATTAATATAGCATAACTGTATCATAGTTATAACTGTATTTTTTACACTGTTAATGTTAATATTTCGCTGCCGTACTTTGTTATTAAACTTTTTTCAACGCATATCACGATTTTATAATTTCTTTTCAGTCTTACCTGAAAATATACATGCCTCCTATTGGTACCAAAGAAATCTTAAGAAAAAAACTTTTATTCTACTCGATGCTGATCAGCCTCGTCAACTTCCTGTCAGTTTTGCTGAGCCTGTTGTTGAATTTTTTCTTGTTCTTTGTTTTCCAACTGTTCTAAAGTTAACAACGAGAGCCCGAGCTGATCTTCTCTCGAAAATGGTTGGGCCATTTGACGAAGCCACCTCTTGCATATCTAACGTTTTAAATATTTAATCAATTTTGTGAGAACTGGAATGCATCAGTGTCAAATTAGTACCAACTATTTTCATACCTGCACTGCTTCCTCTGTTGATAAGTTACAAAGATTATCGGTTAGATACTCTTGAATCCATTTGGGTAATTTACTTTTTTTATCAGATCGAGAAAACCTCTGTGGATACACATACCCTTTTACTAAATTTTCTCTTTGAACAAAATAACATATTGATTGAACGTTTTTACCTTATCAGCAAACACCATTATACCGTAATCAGTTTTTCCTCTGATGGCACGACCCACGCACTGTGCAGCGTGTCTCAACGCATCAAACGTCAAAAAATCATTTTCCTTGATCTAAAAAAAAAAAAAATAATAATAATAATGTTTAAAAAAATCCATATTTTAATTATCCATTCAAACTGATACGTCGTACCTGGAATTGATCTCTCAAATAATCAAGACGAGCCTTGAGAATACGCGATTGAGTATATACATAGGGTATACCGAACATGAGCACTGCTCTACCGAGGTGATGATCAAAATCAACACCTTCGGAAACCTTTCCTCGTGCAACGGAAAGCAACACAGCGCCTCGTCCATTGTCGCAGGCTTTGTTATAATAGTAAAGTGCAAGACTGGTTTCTGCGGCGTCTTGCGTTTCAATGAATATCAGCTTGTACCTCTGAATTTGGTCCAGAATGCCTTGGTCATACCTTTGTGAAATATAAATTTCAAGCTTCAAAAAAGTCGTTTATAACACCAAAAATCTTTTCTATGAATGATTACCAAGCAGCAACGACGGACTCCATGTATAGATACGAAGTGAAGAAGCAAACTATACCGTCTGGTACATTGGCTGCTAATTCGACCAGTAATTGTCCGTAGTTCCTTATCACAGCAATGTCCTCGCGAGTTTCGTATTTCGATGATATTGCTACTTGATCGTTACCCTTTGAAACGATCTGTTGAAAAATAAAAATAAAAAATTAACAATTGTAATCTTTGCTTTAGTGTTTTTAATTTGTTACATATACGAACCATTGGAAGAAGACATGGTCTAGCTAGGGTCATGGTGAAAGACGACATAATGACCGGGTGAAAGTCGAGAATTTTTGGGTACATATCGAGCGGCGACAGAGTACCGGATGTAATAACGATGCTCTGAAATCTGTTAAAAATCGGTTTCATAGCGATCGACGAATCCAAACAAGAGAAATGCAGAATTGGATTGTGCACAGTTGGCGCCTTATCGTCGAACGGCTCGATAATAATCGTAAATCCTTTCGTGTAGGTAGCGACGAGAGTAGCCAAATGTGTAATGCGAACGAGTGGTGAGAAGTCGGTAAGTTCGCTGATTTCCATAGTGCGGAGGAGCGAAGCCAGACGTTCGGCACAGAAGCGCAGAGGTTTGCGCTCGATGCAGACTTTCATCTGGACATCGCGTAAGAATGTCGCTGGGGTTTCTTGTACAACGTGCTGGATACGCAGGCGCATTTTCAGGTACTCGACGAAGCGCTTCAAGAAGCATACAAAGTGCTCGGCTTTGCGGATGTTACCCGGAACCACCTCTTCTAGAACTTCGTTTGGAAGAACTGGATTCGCTAAAACTATATCTGTCTCGCGGGCTACTTGCTGCTCTTTCAGTCCTTCAACGAGTTTGTTGTATTCTTCCTTCAGTTTGGCTGCGTCGTCTTCTCTCATTCTGTAATACATTTCGATGTACTATTATTTACGGAAATAAAATTGGATTATTTTAATAACAAATTATATCTTACTCTTTGACAGACTTTTCTAAAAATTCTATATTTGCACTGCTTTTATCCATTATTCTGCGATTTATCTTTACACTCATTGAATCAATACATACGTTATCTGTAAAGAAAATTTATAGTTAGTGCAAATGAAGGATTGTTACAAAAAAATTTTTCAATCATTTATCAACAAACCTATGTTGTGAGCTTCATCAAAAACGACAACTGAAGTTTTAGCCAGCTCTTTGGATACTGCCTCAGCAATTTTTGGGTCGAGCAAGTAGTGATAACTGTATACTACTATTTGAGCATGCATTATCTACAAAATTATGTGATTCGACATTAAGGACAAACCAAGAAAATTACAAAATGTAGGGTGAAGCATTTTACCGTGAATCTAGAAAGAAAATAAGGACACCAATTTCTGTCTCTGCCATATTCTTTCAAATCATCAATGGAATAAATACCAGGTGGCATCATCATTTCTCGTCCTTCTATATCAAAATTTTCATAATAGCCACAAATTGGAGTTGAATCATCATAGTTATGCCTCTCACGGACATAAGAAGCTGTGAGTGCATGGCACTTGCTATCTACAATTTTACCCTCTCTTTCTTTACTTACCTAAAAAAAAAAAAGATGTTTAATATACCAGTTTAATCAAGTATAAGTACCAACTACAAATAAAATCTGATTCAAGCAGTAATTTTTACATCTGGGTGAATGCACATATTCTTCCTTGAACTGAGCACTAGGCCAATGATATTTGGTAATTTTTTAGTCTCTGTTTCGTAATAATTCATCAATTTTTTTAATTCTTCAATGACTTTTTCTATCTCTGGTACTGTACGTGAACAGTAAATCAGCTTTGTTACTTCAAGAGGATGTTCCAACATGTAGGCCACAATTAACGACAGTAGTGTTGTGGTTTTACCAGTACCTGAAGGCATCTCCAGTAACAAGTGACCCTAAAATGAGCAAAAATTGTCAAATAATAAAGCAATGTAAATACTAACTTTGCCATAAACTTAGAAAAATCATCAACCTTTGCATCCAATCCTCTTTTGAGATCCAGCATGTAAGCATACTGCTCTGGATATATGTAATCATATGGAAAGTAAACTATCAACCCATCAACACTCAACCTGTGGTAAAATAACAAATGATTGCCAAGTCGTTCGTACAGTATTTCTTGTCATACTAATGATTTTTATAGTTTACAAACATCGATAAATTAAGAATCTAATTATCTTTTTGAACTAAACTCGAGTAGTTTTACTTATGGGAAATTTAATTCACAAAAATAGAATTTTGCAAAATCAGAACAATTGGTATTCTAATGACATACCATGGTAAAATAAAATTATCAAAAAATATCCCCTAACTAACACTATTGAATAATTAACATCAAAAATAATTAGTTTTATTTTCTAAAAAAAATATTAATTTAAGTATCGTAACAAAAATTAACCTAAAAGAAATTACGATAAAACTCGATTCGTACGAGAAATAAGAAAAATACCAAAGAGTAATATTTACTTCATTGTAAGGCACAAATTGAAACAAGTGCTATTGTTTATCTGTAGAAAATTATCTCGAAAAACTTATATCATTTCAACGATAGAAAAACTACAAAACGATCACTTCATCACTTGTCAGCTTTTGAAATAATGCGATCTCTTTTTTTAATTTCTTGATTCGAGATTCGAGATCGATCATCGAACTTTTATTTGCGTCTCAGATTTCAAATTCCAATTAAATATTAGATTACTACCTAAATGTAATTGTATATCGTTATATATAGTACTTAATGCCATACGATACAGAGCTTCGTTTCTTGTTTTTTTAATAACTAACTTTTAAATTTTTATTTCTCATTCTGATTTTGTTACTAATTTTTTTTCTGAAAAAAAAACGAAAGGTAAGAAAATTAAAAAAATTCAACTTTCATCACATGTACACACTTACATTCTCTGTAACTTTATTCGGTACTTGGAATCAATTGCATCGTCGTTTTTATGCATAGAGATAATATAATAGAGGAAGCGAACAATTATATTATCTCTATGTTTTTATGACTACCCTAGAACACAGAATTAAATTACTAAACAATTATTGAAGAAGCAATTCTCAAAATTAGTTTTTGTTACTGTTTCTCCATGAACTGAAGATTCGTTTATGAAACTTCAAATGTTTAATAGCTAAAATATTATTGTTATCATAATCTTGAGCACAAAACGGTTCCTTGTACTTTTTTTTTACAAAAAGGTACCCTAAAACTCTCGGAAAATTTCCCTAGCCTAGTGACACTATGAGTGACGATAGGCTAGTGATTTTTTTTAGTCCTACCACTAGCGCTGTTTGGCGGAGAATTTTCTGTGAGAACACCTCACTTAAGTGAGACTGTGAGAGTATAGTAACGGCGTTACCACCACGACCTACGTAACTTTACAGCCTCTGATTTTATCATTCTGGTAAAGAGAGCACGGTGTAAGATGTACGTGAAGTTATATGTGTAGTAGTTATAGTAATTACTACTAAGTAATGCCATATGGTCGATCTTATTGAACCATATGAATATCTATACTTTTGGAGGTCGATTTTCAGGTCAAAGATAGATTTTATACTTGCCGCAAATAGCACAGATCACGTTCAATTTTCATTTAATATCCATATAATTAGTTGCGGCTGGTTTATAATCAATTACAAGGCTATACTGTAAGTTGTAATAATTATTTGGATCAGCGCCATCTAGCGGTCTTCATTTTTTGGCGAAAAGTGGCCTCTAAAATTCTCAATCAGAGCAATCAGGCTTAGAGCTATTTAATCAATTATAAACCAGCCGCAACTCATGATAAAGCTATAAAATAAAAAAATAACGATACATGTGTTTTTGGCGGCAAATTAACAATCTATCTTATGCTTAAAAATTCATCTTCAAAAGTATAAATACATAGGAGGTCGATTTTTTGGTAAATAATAGATTGTTAACTTGCCGCCAAAAACACACGTATCGTTATTTTTTTATTTTATAGCTTTGTCATGAGTTGCGGCTGGTTTATGATTGACTAAATGGCTCTAATCCTGAATGCTCTGATTTAGAATTTTAGGAGCCACTTTTGGCCAAAAAATAAAGACCGCTAGATGGCGCTGATCCAAATAATTATTACAACTTACAGTATAGCCTTGTAATTGATTATAAACCAGCCGCAACTAATCATATGGATATAAAATAAAAATTTAACGTGATTTGTGCTATTTGCGGCAAGTATAAAATTTATCTTTGACCTGAAAATGGACCTCCAAAAATATAGATATTCATATGGTTTAATAAAATCGACCATATGGCATTACTTAATTGCTGGTGACGATTGCGGAAAACACCCAGATTCGAGTGAGAGTTTTTTAGGTTTTCTACCTAACCCTAGTAGGGTTAGGAGGATAGGAGGGCTACTTTTTAGTTCGAAATTTACAACGCGAGATGACGCTGACACAACAACATCATTGTAAAAAATGTAAATAACATGTAATTAGTGTGCGTTATGCTTTGATGCTTTCAGATCAAAACAAAGACAAAATAACAGCTTATAAGTTTTCGTTAATTAAGTAAGTTCTTGTCTTGGCCGAAAAATTGCCAGTATGCACATTATATCTACCCACGCAGCGCTTTTCTGCAAACGGATGACGTCTGTCTCTCCAACGTTGCGCAAAAAAATTATCAATATCATACACATATATATTTGCACACATATTGACGCATAGCAACATTTACATTTAGTATGTGAGAGTAAAAGTAAAAGTGAGATATTTCAAAACTTTGCAAGTGTACCTACTACATGCAAAGATTACAAATGCAAAGAATTGCGTGATTGCGTCGGCTTAACGGCTCGTTTATAGGGAGCGAGGGAAAGGAAACTCGGGAGCTCGGTCGAAAGTCTAAACGAAAGACAGAGTTGCGATGGGTTATACATATGTATATATTATGTCGTTGCAAGAGTTGCGATCCGAAATCTGAACCGGAGTCGCCCACAGTAGAAACGGAGCAGCCGCAGAAGCTGACAGAAGCGCGGGGGTCGCTTCGTTTATCGCTTGCTCCTCACCCGCCGCCGTCGTCGTCGTCGTCGTCGTGAGGAGCAGCAACGAAAGAGTTTAACAATCTTTTTTGACGAGTTGCGAGTTGTAGGATGGTGCGAGGCAAGAATGAAAAGGAATCATCGTCATCCGTACCGAGGGACGAACAGCTATTGACGACAGCAGGCAGCCTAGTAACAACATCATTAGAATCGTCGTCCTCAGTTGTGTCCTTGAAACAATCAGCTGAGCATCAGGAACAGAATACCGCCTGCTGGGACAGCCTGCCCAGCGTTATATTATTCGAGATCTTCTCCTACCTTCCGCACAAGAGCCGCGTCCAAGCCTCTCAGGTATCTACACATATAATTATATGCTCACTTGTATACTTTAAACGATGATTACTTACTGCAAATTTTCTATATCTAATGCTAGCATTTTACCTGCCTAATAATTTTTTAGACAACAAGAGCTTTCTCGCGGTCAAGTCCATTAAAGCTACTTCTCTCTTTCTAAACTCTTATATGACCAATATACTACAATTGCGTTATATATTGTGTATATATATACCTATGCACAGTTATCATCGCTCTTCCATCTGTTGTCTTCTTTCTCCCCTTGACTTTTCTTTTCGCAAATCATTGTATAAATAAGTATGTTCCTCTTGGTCTTTTTTTAACTGTACTCGCAGCTTTACAAAAATTTTCCGTTTACGTGGAACTGCTGGCGTTGTTATTGTTTACCCTCTCTCCTCTCTCTCTCTCTCTCTGCTACAATCGTCCTACTTGAGCACATATGGATTGTATTAATGAGCTCTTTTAAATACGTTATCTAACTTTTCTCCATTTTTTTCTTATTTTTTTTCTATTCTAGGTATGCAGGCAATGGAGGTATGCATTATTTCATGCAATGTTTTGGAAGAAAATCACATTTACTCTGGCAGATAGTGACAGTATTTTGTGGTCAAGGTGAATACCACCTTAATTTTTCCTTCACAATTCATTGTGTAGTATACGAAAACGCTCATAATTTTTTATGCTTCCATTTTAGATGCTTGTCGGATTGGTTTCAGTTTAGCGTACAAGAAGTGACCATACGCTGTGAAACAGTAAATAATTTTATGAGAGAAGCCTTCATTATCCTAAAAAAATTGAGTAGCAACCGACAGCTGCGCAAGCTTTACTTAGAACCAAATAGCTGCATGTTTGAAAATCTCAATTGTGAGGTCAACAGCAAAAAGTTGATGAAACCACTGCTTAATTTGATAAAAACTTCAGAAAGCCTAGAAGTCATAAGTTTGGGATGCATTGAAGAGTTAACGGAAGATCTGACGCTTATTTTAAATTCTCTCCACCAGAACCATGCAAAACATTTGACACATTTAAGTTTGGCATCTGTCAAAGAAGATCCAGATTGTTATGATTTTTTGGAACTCAAGTGCTCATTGTTCAACGATTTCATTAGATTGTCAGTATTAACAATAGATTACGATCATCTAAGTGATGAGTTGCTCCTAGCATTAAATAGTGGTATAATGGAACGACTGGTCATACATGTACATGGCTGGAATGGTGATTATACTGGGGCTAGCAACGATGCATGGATAACTTTTACTCAGAAAAAGTAAGCACTAAAATGTTCAGTTTTTATACAACTCTTAATTCATATAACACTCATTTATATATTTTTTTAATCATTTTAGTCCATGCTGTCAACTGCGTCTTAATCTGATTCATTCCTACAATGCAGTCACAGTATTGGATAGAGAAATTTTACAGCCATCAATGCCTCTGACTCACTTAAAAGTACTATTCTGTGAAAGTGTTAATAATGCGGCTCTTCATCAAATTTCTGATTTCTATTCAGAAACGTTACAATCAATTATTTGGATAGACTCCCTCAATTTCCATAAAAACACAATGAATTCTCTTTATGACGTTGACACTTTGCTCAAGTAAGTCTGATGATTAATAAATGATTACTCAATCTTTGCAATTCGGAAACTGTATTACATAATTTTAATAATTACAGTCCAGATCCATTGATATTGGCTGCTTGGAAATGCAAAAATTTGAATGAAATAGTATTCATAGGACAAAAGTATTTTTCGAATAATTTGCTGGCTATAATTCGTTTGAGGCACAAATTAAAACGTCTTGAGTTTGCTGAAAGCGATATTATCTATGAAGAGCCGTGGTTGTGTCGGGAATCAGTCATAGATGTAAGATAGCTTAAATTACGATTTTTCAATAATTTTTATAATTTATTCTAATGGATTTCAACGTTGACAACAGGAAATAAAAAAAGTAATGGGTGAACAGTGGGAGCCTCTGAGAGATGAAGATCTTCCAAAAGTTGTGATAAATCCTCTGATTGGCGACAGCAGAGAAGTGATAATGCCAATGGTTCTTCGGGATCAAAAGTAATTCATGTCCAAGAAGAAATTTTTAACTTAGCATACATACCTCACTCAAGAGCTATCCTTGGGATAAAGCATTACTTTCATAAGTATGAGCCTAAGTATCGTTTCGGATCGTACGTTAACCTTTCTTGCGTTTTTCTACAAATATTTTTATTGCGAGACACCAAAATTCCGTTTTTCTCACCTTTCAATGCAAATTCGTTACTTTGAATATTTAGATACGGTATTCGCTACAAAAAGCATTATTTTACAATTGTACGCACCCGGCGAAAAATTTCAGCCATCCATATCTCAAGAAAATCTATAATGGGTACATATATATATTTTATCCACTGGAAGCATATTCCCTACTATTTTTTTAGTTCGCGTTTACATCTAGAAAATTATGTCGTAGTCATTGAGAACGAAGCTATTGTAAATACACTCGATCTATTTCTCGATGAATGAAGATTGTTAAACAATCGTGGTAAATCAAGTCAAGTGCTGTAGGAATACATCCAAGACTATTATGACTAGTCAAAGTCTTTCATGACACACCCAGTACATTACAGGGTTAGTATTAAACATTAAGCTCAGACGATTATCGAGAAATAGATAAACTAGAAACATCCGAACTTGAACATCGTCGACAACTCAAGTTCTCAAAGTAGCCAGAAAGACGAAAAGACGAGTATTTTTCCATTCGCGATGGGAATTTTAGTATAAATAGCGTCAGTTAAACGAATAAACAAAATGAAACGGTATAGTAGTAGTAGAAAAAAAAAATTATTACTGAAAACAACATAATTATGCGCAACAACGTTCGAAACACCTTACAACCGCGGGAAGGCGAGCGATTAACAAACGTATTTTAGCGAAGATAACTAAGAGAATAAAAACGTCGTGCGATTATAAGCGTAACGCACATGAGCAGTCCGAGGTTATTTTTAATACCAAAACCAATCGGACGCCCTTTAAAACAGAAGTATAAGTATAGCGTAAAAAAAAAAAAAAATCGAAGCATCTTGAATTAGTATGAACACATACATACATACATGCGCTGTGATTACGGATATATACGTTCGATCAAGCACTTCCAACGAGGGGACGACCTTTTTTCAGACGAAAAGAATTGTTAAGTACTTCCTCCAATTTTAGCAAAACGAGATAAGGATACATATAGACTTGTGGAGGGGAAGCATTGATGAAACACGCAAAATCGTCTATGTCTAAAAGTATTTAGTCACTAAACTGATGTATAAATGTTTATATACGTATATATCTAATAGCTTTTGAATTCAAATGAAGAGATAAAAGCGACAAGTTTACAGCGACTTGTGTCTCGAATTTCGTTCATAGCACGAGTGAAGACGATGAGAAGAAAAACGACAAGTGTTGAAACCTTTAAATCAATCGAAATATCTGAAAGGTACAAAAACTAGAGTAGTTATTTAAAAGAAAACATATACACAAAGTAGCTGGAGTTGAAGAAAATCGACGAGCGTGAAGAATTGTACAGTTTGTTGATTCGAAGCTTTTGTCTCTCGAGTCCTTGCATCATCAATCTGTACATCGATTATCGGACTTGCGAGCCGAAAAATCATTTTTGTTAAGTGTAACTTTGCGTTTCTTTAAAAATAAAAAAAAGCCTAGGCGTCAAGCTTAAAGTTTACAATGTAGCAAGATGATTGACAAGTGAAAGGCCAATTGCTATGAGTAATAAATTCACTTTCCTGGAGTAAAAAAGTGATCCAAGTCCATCAGCGTAGTTGCTGAAGCAGGAACTAAACATTCGACATCTGAGGATGTTGTGAGCAAAGAGCGCGAGGTGTGTGCAAAACAGGCCTTTTCACCGTGTGTACCTGAAACAAAAAATCATTAGACGAAGAAAAAAACTCCGTAGCATACCGTAATAAATTACTTAAAATTAGTAAAAGGCGATATTATGTATTCCAACTCGTTTTTTGGCCTGACGACCACTAAGGGAAAGATTGATTAAATACGACTTGAATAGTTAAAAGTGTAACTATCCAAATTCCCATCGTAGAAGAGAGAACAAATCAATACTGTGTTTCAACATTTTTGACTTGTCTAACTGTTAGTCTAATTATATACGTATATCCCTTGCTTCGGATCAATTTTATTGTACTCCTTGGAAGACCACATCTCTTTTCTTGTAGATGAAATGAGGATAAGCGAGTCAACGAGTGTATACACAGTTATAAATGTCCAAAACAATTTTTGTTTTCTAAAGTGTAGACGTTATTGCGGCACGAGAAGAAGAAATGGGAGTGATTTTTCAACGAAAAAAAAGAGAGCCACAATTCTCTTCGGCTCCAAATGTTCTAAACATTATAACTGTGTGCATTTTTGAAAAAAATATATTTAGTGTTCCTGCTGCATTATTGAGAAAAGAAGAAAATTAAGAGAATATATATATATAATATAGAAGCCAATAAACAACAAGAAACAAAAGTGATATCATCGATGATGAATGAAAATATACGTGTAATATTTTTAGAAGAGTAACGCAAATTCTCGACTCCAAGGGCCCAGAAACACAAAAGCGCGACTACGTATAATAATGAGAACCCAATTTTAATCAAAGACTGAAACTTACTATCTGCGCGCGAAAATACGAACAATCCTAAGGGCCATGCGAGTACACACAAAAAAGTTGTGAATAAAACAAAGATAGAAGAAAAAATAAAATAATCCGCAATGTACAGCTTTGCTTGTTTTCGTAGACACCAGATAGTAATTGTGCTTTTTGTTGAGAGTCAACGTCTTTTAGTCCAATTATTGTTGAAGAAAAAAAAAACAACGTAGCAGCAACAAAGTATGATTGATTTGCCGTTAGTCGATGTGTACAATTTATTGTAGCATAAATAAAAGAAAAAAAAAAACAAGAGATCAGAATGAATGAATGAGGAGATAGATGAAAGAGAGATCGAGAAAGTGCATCTGCGTGCGAATGATTCAGAGTGTACGAAGACTAGGACTACGAAGAAGAAGAAAATCCACGCGTATATCCAAATATTAAAAGTGTAAGTGAATAGTCGAGAGATGAAGGAACAAACAATCAAAGTAAAAAAATATCTAGATAAGCGATGTCAACCGTAGCGCGCAAAAGTATATATATAAAAAAGAAGAAGATAAGTTAAAGAAAACGAAAACACGAGAGAGATATACGAAGACACAAACTTACTGATAGTTAATAAGAGCAATCGCGCGCGCAAACGGTGAGAAAAAAACGAGTCGTTATACGAAAAAAAAAAAAACAAAAAAAAAAAAAAAGAGCTCCGATTTTAACAGAAAACAAGTCAAGACCTATTTTTAAGATGCGAATCTACAATGTGCACACCAAGCGGGCCTCAGTGTGCATTACAAAGTGCGCGTTATCGCTCACACGTATATAGATGCTTGAGAGCAGCAAATAAATAAATAAGTATAAAGAAAGAGCGCCGTCGATTATAACCGAAAAACGAAAAATAGTGCGATATTGTTAGCGAATTTTCTCTTTATACAAACGGTTATGAATTTAAACAAACGAAATAAGAAAAGAGCATTATACATATTAGCTATGATTGTTGAATTGAAAAGAAGTGATTGTATGAGGCAGAGAGAAAAAAGAAAGAGACGATCTTTCGTGTTCTTTTTTTTCCATATAGGTGATGTATATATTTATATTTACTCGACGGTATAGTTTTCACTATCCGTCATTACCGTGACTTTGTTGTATTTTTTCAAGTGACTAACAATGTCATTTACGTTTGTTCACACATAGGTACATCTGTTGTTATTATTATTTTTTTTTTTTCCTTTTTTTTTCAAACGAAAATCACTTCCAAGAACAAGCTTCTTGACTTTTCAGCGAGTAAAATCCCTCCCTCTTAAAGACTGATCATCAAAGATCTAGAAAACAAAAATTAAGTCGTGTGTCGTCATTCTGTACTTGTGTAAAAAGAAAGAAAATAATTAGATCAATTATATTTACAATGAAATTTAAATCAATTTAAATCTTTTTTTTTTTTTTTTTTTAAAGTTGGAAAAAATCGAATTGAATATGAAATTGTTATACTTTTTGCGCTAAATATGCGTACGTCGGAACTATTATTATAAAAGGGGGTGTAAAAATCCGTTGCCACTCGCGATCGATGCAAAATAAGCAGTCGATTATTTTTGTTTTTAAAATATGCACAAGTAGCCAGTGAGAATATATAAAAATGAATTTTACAAAACGGAAAACAATTGACTGCACGCATCGATCGATTTAAGAAAAACGTATACAACTCACGTGTCCTCTTAAAAAAAATAAAAAAATCAATTAAAAAAAAAAAAAAAAAATATCTGCATGGAAAGCTAGTAAAATATCTGTGATGCGATGAAAAATAAAAAAAAATAAAAAATGAAGGCCGAAGAAGAACGCTAGGAGAAAAAAGCGAAAAGATTTGTGTACTTGAAATAATATATATTATCGACTAGTGAGCCAGCCTTCGAATACACAAGAAGTACGTACTATAATTTCGACTTGGTCGGCTGAGCGAGTAAAAGATCTGTGATAAATAACGATAAATATATAAAAATAAACAAAAAAGTTAGAGGGATACTCGACTACAGAGAATGACAGCGAAATAAAAACATTATAAAATCCAAGGTGTATGCGTGTGTGGGAACAAATCATTCAGAGTCAGCGAAAGTATAATGTGCGTTGTGTGTGAGGGAAGAATGAAAAAAAGACGTGTTTTTAAAGATATTGAAACGTCGCGCTTGTATTTCGGTGACAATAGAAGGTACGGAGAAAAAAAAAGAGGTGATCGCAGTAGTGCGCGAAAAAATCAATACAGGTGTGGGTACTCTATTAAAATTTCATGACGAGCGTGACAAACAAAATTACATCGCACGTCTTGTGTATGTTGTGAAAGAAAAGAAAAAGAAAAAAAAAAACAAAACAAAACAAAAAAAAAAAACGAATAAAATACCAGAACCGTCACATATTGTTTTATGACTTTTATTTCTAAGTATGCAATCATGTAATTGTTGATTTTCGATATGAACTGATAAACGAGAGCGGACAGGTAAATCAGTTTTTTATACGCGTCTTCGCGATTCTACATGTTAAAATATATTAGTGTGACAATCTTGCATAAAAACATACGTATGTACATGGAGTCGAGCCACGCAAACATGTACATGTCAAAAGAGAGAGTGAGAGAGAAAAAAGATCTTTAGAAAATTATACCACATCACGATACGTGTATACGCGAAAATCTGAACTCAGTGTCGTTATCCAATCGTCCACACATATACACTATATAGTCTCGATTTTTATTTCTTACTACCAGTTAGCTAAAAAGAAAAAAAGAAGAAAAAAAAAACTTAAGAAAGTATATCGCACGACATTCCAGTCCCTTGGCACTCAGTCAACCGCAAGAGAAAATAATAATAGACACACATGCGCAATTCTTAGGGTTTACAATAGCGGTCGGATTGAGATGAAAAATGCTCTCCACACACGAACAGTATTAAAAGTTCCTATAGGAGACAAGGGAGAGAGAGAGACCACTCTTTTCACATCCCCGCTTTTTCTTTTTTTTTTTTTTCTCTTTCATCAAGCGAGATGCTGTACATACTTACGTAGGTGCAAGAAAAACAAACGAAACGAGTGATGACGAGCGGAATGGATTGCAAGAAATGAAGAAAAAAAATAAAAATAAAAATAACTCTGCCAAATTGTAATACAGGCGACGCGTATACTTGGGGTTTTTTGAGAATTATTTTATTTCAGAGCTCATTCCGATGATTTTTACAAGTACGCCAGCCGTATTTGTTAACAAAATAAATGCATGACGAAGGGTATGTTGAATGTCTTTTTTTTTTTTTTTTTTTTTGTTCAAATACATCGTGACAGTGTGAATACATACGAATGAAAGTATTGAGAACAGAGAAAGATACTACTAGCACACTCGGGCGCGAAAGATTACGCGTGAAATAAAAAGTTACGCTCTATGTAGGTAGTTGTTATTAAATCAATCTATCGTTATGCAGCTTTATCGTCAATCCCCATGTATTTTTTTTTAAATAGGAGGAATCAAAAGATTTTTGTTTTTTACACCATTTATTTTTAAAATATAAAAAAAATACCTATTTAAAGTCTTACGTCCTCTTATTCATGCAATTATACGTATGAAAATGCGATATCATATTTTAAACTATACAGACTTTCAATTAAAAAAAAAAAATAAAAATAAAGAAAAAGTTAATCCTGTAATAAACTTTAACTTGTTAAGTCTATATTTGAGCAACTGGGTACTATTTCTATGTAAACGTAGCTTTCCATATATGTATATGTGTATATATGTATGTGTATATTATGCATACACACGATTGTTTATGTGCACATGTTGTCTATAACCATCATCTCCAGTAAATTGATTAAATTTGCTTATGTCTTGAGTAAAAACTTAAAAAAAAAAAATTTTAACTTGTGTCTATATTATTTTTAA